AATCCTATTTCAGGGGGGGGGGGGGGTAGAGGCTAACTTTTTTCAGTGACAATTCTAATACTTCATTATCGACACATCACTAAAACTGGGAGGGGGGCAACCAATTTTTTCAGTTAACATTTGCTATAGTATAGGCAAGGTTGAGAAAAAAAGTGGGGGGGGGGGCAGCACCGTTGCTACGCTCCTGCAAATATAACTGAAACCGTGCACTGATCAAAATGTACATATATACACGGGGTGATACAGTATGTTTATTTCTATTATTCTTGAAAAGGGAAAAAATTGAAACCGAAATATTAATAAAGTGATACTGATAAAACCCGTTAAACAACTTCCCAGCTAAAAAAAAATGTTCAAACTTTGAGGTGGGGTCAATATTCAACAGGGTCAATTTTCAACTTGTTGACGTCATCAGGTGTAAGAAAAAAAATTATCAAGCTGTTGAAAAATGACCCCGGGTATAAATTCAACGACTTTTAGTCTCAATATTCAACGTTGAAAAATGACCCCGGTTCAATATTCAACGTTGAAAAATGACCCCCGGGTCAATTTTCAACTCGGGTCAATATTCAACGTTACAGCGGCCCCCGATAAATTGACAAAAAATTAAATGTCTAAATTTTACTCTAATTTTTGGATGTATATGTAGCTATATGACGTACCATTTTTATCAAAAATAGAAACGTGATTTGAAAGATATAGATCTTTTATTTGGGTAGGGGTATCATGTTTACATCCAATTCCCATTGCATTTTAGCCCCGCCCCACTCTTTGAAGCCCTTAAAATATACGAGCGCAGGTAGGTACAATTTTCTCCTTTGACTGGACACTGTATTTTATTAAAATCTACCTATATGTGAAAGGAGAAAATTGTACCTCACTGCGCTCACATGCTATTTTTAAAAAAAACGTGTTAAATCTAGCTGATCTTTCCCATTATGAACAGATTGACGGAACTAGATTTTCTGACGTAAGAATAAATTCATCTGCTAATCGAGGCACTGGCGATGATTTTTAACCGACCAATCAGCTAAATGAAATATTGTTACGAGTGAGTACCACAAAAATACTATGGAAACATGCTCTGAATTTTACTGCTTTCCGATAATTTATTTATGCATTTGAGTCACAGATTAGACACGGATCTACATATGTACAATTTCCGAGATCACAGTAAAATTTATTTACAGTTACAAACAAATGATAAATCTACATTAGTTTAAAGTTTTGTAGCGTGTTTGGTGAGCAATTCGCTAGGTCTACACGTATTCCCGAGTAACAGTGAATACAAGTTTCATGTGCATTTCCTGTCCTAAAAACCGTATATGCTGAAAATCCATGCGTATTATTAAGTATAAACAGCCTTGTCTGACCATTATAAAAGTTTGGAATGTAGAAAAGGATAACAGGTAAATTGACCTAAACCACGTGTCTGTGATAAAATGTAAACATAGTAAACCAGCATGTTTTGTTGTTCTGTCATCGGATTGGACAAGACTATGTGCGAAATAATAACAATAGCCTTATAAGGTCTTCTCGGACACACATGTCCCTCTATTGTACTAAGACCAGCCCATTCTCTTGCCATAAAAGAACATATTCCCACAAACCTGGCCGATTTTAGCTGTGATAGGGTCTAAAAAATCAAAGATAATGTAGTATTTCTTGTGATTTAAATGTGTCTGAACTATTCAAACTATTTAAAAGGCGTCGTTTTTATTCACTCATGTTTGAAAAATACCAACATCGTTGTAGATTAAATATGATTCTTCGTGGAAAAAGGGGCCACAGATAGCAGTTATGTCACATCATCCTTTCAACAAATAATATTTGATGATGTATGATTGGCTTTAAGACACATAGCAAATTTGATAGACATCATATCGGGAGTAGATTATACTGCTTGGCACTCAAAGGTCACCCTATATTTTGAAAAATGAGTGAAAACGACAGCGGGTACGAAAGTCTTAACAAATATTTTAAAATATCAGTAATTGTAGTTATCCACGTTTGTTTTATATTTAAACAGATATTGGAACATGAATCTATTGCTTAAAACCATCAAAACAAAATTTACCATAAGATGTACTTGATAAAAACGACGAAGGTCTGACAAGATTAATATGCAATTTTCTTAAATATTGGTAGTATTGTTGTTCAAATTCGTATTCAAGGAGACAGTTTAATATCTGGTAGGAGTCTAGAAAGCAATTTTTTTGCAAAAAAAATCTAGATTTATTAGAGGAATGACCCAGAGTCAGGAATCCACTACATTGAATTTCTTCGCGACAGCGTCCAAAAACCGCATGCCCTGAAGAGTAAAGGGGTTTTCGGGATAAACAGAAAGGTAATGTTTTTTCACATTAACAATATTTGCCAGATCTTTGACCTTTTGACTTGTTTCTATTTCCAAACTTGAAAAAAAAACACCTTTCAGAAGGAAAAAACAAGTCCAGGAAATCATTGGATCTGTCATTTTCCAGTATACTAAGGGTCATACCCAAAAATGAGTTCTAAAAACAATCAAAAATTGGATTTAAAATGTTACGGACATGTGTTTGAATTAAAAGAGATTTTAAAATAAGTAAAATCATGAAGACTAAGTCATTGAAAAGCGTCATTTGCTTCTTTCTGAGCACCGAGGACATTATTTATTGAACAGCCCTCGTATGTGTTGAAAAAAGTCAGTCAACATTGACACAATAATATATTGTATTTGCTGACAAGGTCATTGTACATTATATCGACCAAAGAATTTACGAAATGATGACTTTAAACGAGACTGCTGATATTCTTGTTTCATCAACTTGCATGTCAATAATTTACCTCGTCTTACAAATTGTTGATACGTAGGGAATGCTCTTGCGTATCGAATCAACTGAGATACATAACCTCCGTTTGCAGGTGGTATATTGCTGCATTAATAAGGGAAAATGAAGATAGAAAGTTAAAGTCATCACGTTTATCATAGAGCCTGGTTGTTAGATTACCATTAACGTCTTTTTCAAGTAAAATATCCAAAATTAATATGAAACATATGTGTCAGACTCTGTGGTATCTTTTATTTCAAGCTCACCAGGATATAAACATAATAGGGATATTTGAATATTACTGCCTAAATAAGGGATGTTGACGATAAAAAGAGTCAAGATATCTCATGAATACCAATTTCAAAGTACCTTGGTGTTTAATCGAAAATGATTTAAAGGTACTTGTCAATCAAACCCGCCAAAAAATTTGAAATTTAAATATCTTTTATATAAAGTAAGAATTTTAATTAATTTTTGTGTGAAATGCTATTAAAATATATAAGTCATAATATTATAGAAAAAATAATAACTTCAAATCTGTGTCCAAGTGCCTTTAAGGGGTACCGACCCTCTGATATGACAGATAACTCTCAGAGACAGTCAGAGTACAAAATATGAATACTACTCACAGTTTTCTTAATCAGAGTTTCCTAATTTAGACCTCTGAGAAGTCAATTCGATGAAATCTAACCTGTGATGAAAACATTACTTTCTATTTCTTTTGCCAATCTCTTACTAATTGTTTTATTATATTTAACAATAAAACATTTAAATCCTACTTCAAAAGCATTTTGAATTGAATAAGTTGTATTTTTAATAGACTATTTTAATAATGGTTTAATGTTTCAAGTACTTAATACAGAACTTTTATAAGTATGACATTTTTTTTTTATATGAAGAAATCTTTAGAAGAAAGATAACTCCTCCTCACATATATATTTTTTCTTACAACCACATACAACATTTTAATTTTCTGACTTAGGAAGCATCGCTTTATGATGTTTTCTGACATGATTTTAATAGGTATTATACTAAGTATTATTTTCATATACACCTCATATTTCAAATTAAATGTTATGATAATAAATCGTTATTGTTTCTGTTCTCTATGTTGAAATTTCTTCATATCATGATCTGACAAAAAATAATTTCTGAAAAATAAGCTGCGCTTCTTACATCAAACTATTTTCCATGTGGCTCTAATGTTACTGTTGTTCATGAAAATCAACATTAGAAATATTAAATTTTCTGAGTGAAATTTGATAGCAGAGGGTCGGGACCCCTTAAACAAAGTACTTTGGTAAATGACCAATCGATATGACAATATCCAAATTGCTGTTTTATGAAAGTAGCTATTTTTCTTTAATGCAATTGAAGCCCAGATAATGAATAGCTATAGAAAAAGTCAATTTCTTTTTAACATATACGGCATAAATTTTTGGAAAATTTTGCGATTTCAAATTCTCTAAAATTCTTTTCAGATTTTAATTAAGGCACTACTCCGATTCTTGAATATGTTGTAGCAGAGTAATTTCGATTTCTCACAATTAGGGTTTTGTGTGGGAGTGAAGATAGACTTAGTTTTACCTGTCTGACATTAATACTTATTTATCATTTAATTTTAATGAAAAAAAAATCAGCATTACACATTTACGATAAATTTTATTGTAAATCTCATAGCTTGATCTAAAGGGTACAGATAATAAAGAGCAATCGATTTAAAAAATCTACAACAAAATAAATCTGTAAATAAGACCAAAAAAAACGGACCGCAGGAAATTCATGAGGCGTGGTCAGGTGCCTTAAAGGAGTAATTAAGCGTGAAATAATTTTTCAAATATTTTCTATGTATAACAATTTAAAATTTTGGAATTTTAAGTCACATTCTGGACACCACTGGAAACAATGTATATACCTTGTCACCATAGAAACCGACATTAGAAGATGAACAATTAACCATTTCATTGAAAAAGTCATATATATCAAAATTGCTAAGAATTTTAAAACATGGTAGTTAAACAAATATTTCCATTAAAGTTAGTACTACAACTACATTTTTAGCTAAGATTAAAGCTGCATACAACAACATATAAGCAGGTATGTCCGGATTTTAAATTGCGCAAACAAGACAAAAGATCAGAAGAGGAAAACTCCAAGCATGATGTCTCAACGTTTCATTCAAAATATCCTTCACGTTAATGCTATCATCAGACTAAACCACTGAAAGAAAAGAAAGATGTAAAAATAGTGCATCATCACTCTGTCATATCCCTCCGCTAAAATCTTCCAAGTTACTTTCTCCTCCGCCTCAATATCTTGCTCATCTTCGTAAGGAGCAATATATTTCTTTTCAAAACTTACATCCAATTCGGCAGATTTGTCAGCGACTTTAGCCTTCTTTTTTCGTTTTCCACAGATGTCGTACAGGAATCGGAATCGAAGAACATTTAGCAGAAAAACACCTTTTCTTGAGACTTGGAATGTTGGGTCTTTAAAATGAAAACGCATTGTAACAACAGCCAAAACGCTTATTAGTGTGCTCATTGACATCGTAATGATTAAGAAGTAAGACATTAAAGACATTGGTTCTGAAGATTTGGGGATATTGTCACTGAGCAAAGTCATAAACACGGCAAAAGACAAGAAGATGGTTATAGCGTAAGACACACGTTCTCCACTTTCAACTGGTAATACAAACACAAGAGGGTTCAGTAAGGATAATAAAAGGATAGGGGCTAACATGTTTATGATGAAATAAAGAGATTTCCTCTTCAAAATTAGTCGAATTTCAATTAAGTTATCTAAATCTCCAAGAGCAGCCCGCTTCATAAGTTATCTAAATCTCCAAGAGCAGCCCGCTTCATTAGTGCCTTTTGTAATGTCCATTGGGCATTCGGGGAGTAGTACGTCGTATCCGCGACTGTCAAACCGTTAGAAGGGATTAATCTCACTTCAGATGGAGCATATCCCCACGGTGATAAAGTGAAAGAGCAAGTTTGTGTATCAAATGGAAATTTATACATATCAACGTTGCAAAGAGTCTGAATCAGACCAGCTGGAACCCATCTCATATTTCCGGTGTAAGACATTCTCCCTAAGAAGTCTTCATCCCCAAGGGCTTCCATTTTATTTGCTGGATCAATCAAAAAGATATTAGGAATCCATAGTTTTTCCTTGGGGACTGGGATATCTTCAATGTTACCATAATTGCTTGGTGTCCAAGTCAATCGAAAATCCCGCCAAGACATACCAAAGCCACAAACAATGGACAACACACCAGAAATCTCATCAAAATCATTTATTGAAAAAATCATGGGCATAAGAACGACTTCTAAAACTTCTGAAAAGTTCGCTTTTGGTCGGATTTCTTTAGAGTAGTTCTTGAAAACATCCTGAAGAAGTAATTCAGCGTCAGTATAAAGACCATGAACGCTTGTTAGTGATGTTCCTGAAATTAATAGTAAAATCAAACCCGAATTAAAAATTTTCTCCATGATCCTCTCAAGCTGTCTATCTTGAAAAAAAAAAAAACAGCTATCATATGCATACAAATGGTCGATCGTCGAATAATAGGTATGAAATGGAACTGCTGTGTTTCCGTTAACTTTAATGTTCAGTTCATTTTTGATGTTGATTAGTTTGAAATAGAATTTCTAAACAGTCATCGCTAAAATTCAGTTGTCTCACTGTATTTAGAAAAGAAAAACATCCCATGAACAAATATTAATTAGCAATATTTGTTATCACGTTTCGAAAGATAAATGAAATAAGGTCCGACTTGCTGTAAATATTAGCACAGTACTAACGAAGTCCTCTATTAATGTCTTCGCTAAATATCTTTTTTTTTTAAAAATAAATTTGAATTAAGATGATCTTTTTGATATTTTCTATTTGGGTCGTGTGTAGCCAATGTTATAAGCAGAGGAATCTGAAATAAGATAAAACAGGGCATCCGACAAGTACTTTTATAGTTCAGCTTCGATCTGCTGCAGGCAAATTGTCTGTCCATCTAGCTAGGTATTCTATATGAGCCAATCAATGGTTATGATGTGATATCTGAGATTTGGAAGATTACAATTACATTCATAATTATATTGGACACATTTAAAAGGGTCCAAACCTCCAACAACAACAAAATCAGGACATCAGTAAAAAAAATTATATAGCAAGATCTTGAGTGTTAAACATTCAAATGTTAAATACTACAGTAGTAAATGTTCAACCAAGCCTCTTTCGTTACTCCTCACTAAGATATTGACAGTAGTGAAGGAAAAATTCAAAAGTACTGTGCAACAATATATACAAGAAGTCGTGTGAATCAGATGTGGGACTCAAAAATTCTAAAGAACTTTTGGACTGGACAATTTGAAATCACAAGATTTTACCAAAATCAACAGCTTAAAAACTTACGATTTTTCTACTTTATACACCACCATTCCCCATGATAAATTAAAATCCAGGCTTTTGGATATCACCGACAGCTGCTTTTTCAATAAAAATGGAACTCGTAAATTTACTTACCTGGTCATTGGTCATTTGCAAAATTATTTGTTAAAACACATTCTGATTGCACACACAAATACTAGTACTCTGAAGTTGACATCAAAAAGATGCTTGAGTTTTGAATTGACAATATCTATGTGGTCTTTGGAGACCAGGTCTTCCAACAATATATTGGAATTCCATGGGTACAAATTGCGCTCCGTTACTAGCAGACCTATTTTTATATTCATATGAAGCAGAATTTATGCAAAATCTTATGCGTGAAAAGAAGAAAACACTGGCTGTGGCCTTAAAACTCGACATTTAGATATATCGACGTTTTGCCAATTAACAATGGTAATTTCCACTCCTATGTCTATACGATATACTAGTATCCTGGTAAGCCTGAAATAAAACATACGACAGAGTTTGACACATCTGTTTCATACTCGGATATTTTACTTGAAAAAGACTTTAAGGTAATCTAACAACCAGGCTTTATGATAAACGAAATGACTTTAACTTTTCTATCGTCAACTTCCCTTACTTATGCAGCAATATACCTTCAATACCTGCATATGGAGTTTATATCTTACAATATCTCACAATTTCTAAGAAGAGCTATATTACTGACAAACATGTTGATGAAACAAGACTATCAGCAGTCTTGTTTAAAGTCATGATTTCCTAAGTTCTATGGTCGATACATGACCTTGTCAGCAAATACAATTTATCATGGGGCAAATGCTGACTAACGTTTTTCATACTTATTGTTGGTCCATTATACACTGAATTGACGATTAATTTTCCCGTTATAACCCGATAATGACAAGGAGCACACGGCGGTGTGACCGGTAGGCAGGGGATGCTCACTCCTCCATAGCATCTGATCCCACCTCTGATGTTTTGGAGATCGTGTTTCCTCTGCTTCTATTTATGTATTGTTTTATGGGCTTTGATATTGAATACTGTTCGTTATCTCCATATTCTTTATCACTAACTCTACATTTGTGTCAAGCTCAGAATTTTAGCATTTTTTTTATTAGCTAATTCAAGTAATAAATTGAAAGAATGCAAATACTTGTGAGTTTTAATATTGACAGAAGAAATGCTGAATGAGTTTGAACGCTATCAGCTTTCCAATCAAAACGGTTATTAACGATTTCATAGAATCAAATAGATACGATAATTACGGTTTTACCTGTTCATCAATGATTATTTAAAACAGCGGAAATTGAATGAAACGAGAGATCGTCCAGACGTCATGATCTTTCAAACCAGTTGAAGTATTCACATTCACCATCGCACTTTTTAAAAGGCAGCAAATAATCACTTATATTTGTTTAAATCATTCTCGACATCTAACCTTTTCTTTACGAGAATTATTCGAGTCAATCATAAAGATTTCAGTATAAATTAAAAATGGCTGAATTTAAATTATTTTTACTTCCCATTTTGAAAAATAGATGCTGTATCTTATTAATTTTAAAACCACTATTTACACACTGAATTGTGTACGGATTATTCCGTTCTTCTCGATCATGACAATTAGGAGCAGAAGATGCTCACTCCTTCATGGCACCTGATCCCATCTCTAATGATAATAGGTCCATATCTGCTCCGTTTTGTATTGTTTGAGTGGACTTATCAGCTTAACTAGTGTTCGTCCTCTCCATATTTCAGTAAGAGAAAAACATTTTCAGAGTTAAAGAATGAAAGTGAAACATTTACATGTACTTTGAATTATCACGATCATAATCTAATCACATGTCAGTCCATCTTTTCAATCAGAGGCATTACTATATATTTAATAAAAAGAATAAGTGTTTTATGATTGATTGATTGTATATTGTTTAACGTCCCTCTCGAAAATTGTTCACTCATATGGAGACGCCACCACTTGCCGGTGGAAAGCTGCAAATTTTATCCTATACTCGGCAATCAGGGCCATTGAGCAGGGAGGGATCTTTTTCATGCCAGCACCTACTGCGACAAGGGACCTCGGTTTATACGGTCTCACCCGAAGGACCAAGTGTTTTATGAAATGAAATGAATTAAAAATCTCCTTGACCCTTTTCACTGACCTTTACGTTTGATCCACTTTCAGAAATAATAATATCAAGTATAACAAGAGGAAAATAGGATCTTTTGAAGAACAAAAAAATTTTACGTTTAAATCCCATTCTTATAAAATGTTGTAATTTAAATAAATATACTTGTATCTTAAATCTCAGTCATATTGGTTCATTTGTCTGTTGGAATATCCTTTTCGATGATACTTCTTATGAGAGAAAGTCTACTTGACGCCAGCTGTGAATGTTTCAATGAACTTCAAACATTTATCTAAACTAAAACTGATAGAATTTGCATGCCAGGGTCAAATAAGATATATTTGAAATTTTGAACAACACTTATTTTTTGATTTGAGCAAATATTGGTAAACTCATTATTAACACTTTGTAATATATGTACTTTATCGGTATTTCAAATCACTTTCTCATTTTTTAACTGTCGAACCATTGAATCTATTTTAAAAAGTTTTCTTTCATATTTTCCTAAATCGCGTCTAAATGAATTTGTAATCATTCTTGCGTGAAATAAATATGAAAAGTCAGTAAAGATTGAATTCAATAACGTTATTACATAAGTTTAGTTTTGAGCTTATCTTAAAATATACTTCACAAAGAAGACAGACATTCGTTGAGTCGTCATTTGGCCTGAAAAGAACTGTATGTCATGAATGACAGACTAAATTGTTCTGTAAATGAAGATTTCCTTTATATATAGTTTGACAAGGATGGAATAAAAAAAAAAACGTGTATAAATTTTTGATACATTCCTTTCTATAAGGCAATATTTTAAAACACGATAGGAAATTGTCAGAATAAAAAGAATTCATATATTCTAGTTTTATAATTGGTCATTTTTGTGTAACTTTATATGGAGCTCTTCTTTTGAAGGAGAGCAATGTAGCCTGGAAATGACCACAACCACCCTAAACTTAAAAAATAATGGGTATATCTAATTCTTTTACCTTGAAGATCCGTTAAATGTTCCAGAAATATATAAGATAAAAATATGTTCAAAAAAAATTTAACTTCATAATTCCAAAAATCAAAAAAAAAAGTTAAAGAGTCCAATAAGTCTATATTTTTTTCTTATGAGAAAGATATACTAGTAATTGACAATGTTTGTCGTTAATATTGTTTTCGTCAGAGCACAAGAAAAATCATTTCCCTTTTCCCTTCTGAGAGTTAGAA